GGAGAGGGAGAGGGAGAGGGAGAGGGAGAGGGAGAGGGAGAGGGAGAGAATGAATTCACTTGAGAAACCAAGACTATTATTTATTAGTCTGGTTTGACTGTTATTATGCAATGTAAATTTATTGTTCATTTAGACTGAGCTCACTTCTAAATGTCCCTCCTTTCCCTGAATACAGTGCAGTAATGGAACAAATTCAATTGTAAAGTGTTGCCCATAATGAAAGGGCAGGTATTTTATGATGATCTTAATTTTAAAATTATTTTAATTTAGAAAAATATAAAAAACTTGCCTTATTAGAATGTTAACATCACAGGAAGATGGGAAATTTTGATTGCTTTGGTCATAGTTGTGTCTGCACCTAGAATAGCACTTAGTCTCTTGTAGGTACTCTGAATTTAAAAACGGGGTTAAATTAATGGATGTGGTATTAGAATGTATCTTAGAAAGCAGTTTCTGTGTTTTGAGTTTGTTGGCTGCAAGGTAAGTTTGCTTTTCTACATAGTGCCTCTAGGTTTTATTTTCTGATAGTAAATACTAACACTACAAGCTATCAGGTAGGTATTGAACAAATAGTTATTGAATTTGTTTACTCTCTTTCCAAACTGAAGAAGTATTTTGGTTCTTTTTAAAGTTTGTTTGAGGTAACTGATTTACATTGCATTCTTGCTCTTTCTAGATGTGGTATATGTGTCAGCTGCGGGCAGTATGCTCTGCCAGATTGTTAACTCTCTACTGTTACTCCCGGTGTCGGTGGCTCGTCCTCTATTGAGTTACCTCCTCGACCTCTTGCCACCTCTTGATTGCCTTAATAGACTCCTGCCAGCTGCTGCTCTTTTAGAAGACCAAGAGTTACAGTGGCCTCTTCATGGTAAGTACAGGCAATAAAAGTTAAATAATGCTCTCGAGAAAAGTTGTTCTTCTTTCATATATCAAAGAAATGAATATATTTCATATTTCAAATAAACACAATATGAGTGTTTCATGTGATCAAAAAGATGTGATATCTTCTAAGAGTGAACAGTCCGAAGTGGGTAGCTGACATGCAGTAGCTAAGAAAGTTGTTTCTGGATGTTAAAGAAAGCATCTTTTATGGTCAGTGGTTCTGAGGCTTTTTGTTCTTCAGAGTTTGACATGATTGAAATTAAGATGTGTTAAATCTCCAACCCAAATAAGACCAGTCAAAGAAAACACAACTCAGTAATTATGAATATAAACTGCACGCCTATTGGGCAGATTTACCGTTACACCACTCTATTCCCCAGCTATGAGATCCCTTATATCTTGCGTTTTTTTCAGGCCACATGCTTCTCCTCCATTGTCCTTCCACCTCTTCCTCCTCCATCATCTTCCTCCCTCGTCGTGACATTACCAAATATATAAAGCTATTGGATAATCTTTAAACATTAGAGTTTCATTTTTACTGGGTACCACATGGATGGCGGGTTGGTCTGGGTTCAGCCTAGCCTTGTGGAGACAGCGTGGAAGATTGGTGGGGCCATCTCCCACACTGGCGTCTCGTGGGTGGCAGGGCTGGTGCTTCTGGCCCTCCTGAGCCCGCCTGAGCCGAGCAGCAGCGAGAACACGCAGCCACTTGTGGCCTCAGGCCTTGCCTAGTCGGGAACATGGCGGCTCTGTAACTACAAGCCAGATCAGGTGCCCCCGTTTTAAAATATTACCCCCAAGAAGATATGTCTTAACAACAGTAGCAAAATTGTGTTATACTTTAGTCAGCATTACTTTTTTCCTTTGAGGTATTTAAAATAACAATACATTTATAACCAGTGGATCATTACATTCAATTTAAGCATTTTATTTCATAAATATAAAAAGTTATAATTTCAAATATGTATTTGATAATAACACTTCTTATTTTGGTTGGATATATAGACAACTGGTTGAATTTTAAAATGGAGATTGAGAGTATCAATCTCCATTTTAAAATTTAAAGTATCAAATGCATCTTTTTAGTGCATTTGATTTTAAACATGGCATTCTAATTCATTCTTGGTTTATATAATGCTGGTGATTCTAGACAGCTGACAATAGCTTATGTTTGCAAGAGTATTATTGTTATCTATTGGAGACTTTGTCTTGAGGTTGTCAGACTTCACCATTGGAACATAAGATCTTTCAAAGTTAGTGAATTGTCTTTTTTGTTTGTTTGTTTGTTTGTTTGTCTCTGCTAGTAACTTCTTGTGTAACCTTGAGAAAGTTGTTCAGTGCCTAGAGTGTTTGTTTTGTTGTTGTTGTTGTTGTTTTTCTAGAAAGCATTGGACTTTGACAGGATAACATTGAAGCTCTCTTGCTGGAGCAGTGGTCGGTTTGGTTAACCACTGCATTGAAATGGTCAAAATATCAAATTCATGACTATGCTGATAACAACATAGTGATTTGGCTTGATGTGGATAGTTTCGGAATTATTTTTGCTTTAAAGTGTCTTAGAACTTTCTTGTGTTAGATGAGCTAAGTATCCTTCTGATCTGGATTTCTTTGGGTTTACAACTGATTATTTTTTAAAAAGTTTCTCTTTTTCGTGCTGTTCTTGCCTGGTTTGCTAAATTAGTACTATATTCATATAGTATGAATTTGGAATCTTAATTCTTTTTTTCCTGTTTTCTGAAGTAATTTTTGTAAGGTACAGATTATCTTTTATTAGAATGCTAGAGGAATTTTTCTATGAAATTACCTGGCCCTTGTGGTTTATTTACTTATGTTTTTATTGTATATGTGCATGGTTTGTGGGATTTTTTTCCAATATATTTTAGAAATTGATGTTTTTCTAGAAAATGTTATTTTGTTGACTTTAAAGTTTATTGGTGTAAAAGTGATTGCATTTATTTGTGGTTTAAAAAAATTCCTTATGTAAGCATTGCTATATATTCTTTTTATTTCTATTTTTAAAATATATGGAGTCTGTTTTTCTTTATTAGTGTTATTAGACTTGTCCATTCATTTTTTTTTCAAATATCTGCCTTTTGGAATGCTATTTTCTCCACCACTGATTTCTGATTTCTGTTATCTTTACAGTTATCATGTGTGTATGTGTGTGTGTGTTTGTGTGTTTGTATGTGTGCACGCATGTGTGTGCATGTGAAGAACTTTTAGAAACAAGTATCCAATAAGAAAGCCTGGGTCTGGATCTTAGTATAAGACAGTTCTGAGTTCAAGCCATAAGAACATTAAGCAATAGTGTCACTTTAATTAATGAATTTGTTTTTGGTTTTGGAGAAACAGTCCCAAAGACTAATTAAAAATGGTAAAATTTTGGGAGGCAGAGACAGGTGGATTTCTGAGTTCGAGGCTAGCCTGGGCTATACAGAGCAACCCTGTCTCAAAAAAAAAAAAAGTAAAATTTAATCTAGATAGTATAATAGAATCCATTGAGATAAGTTTGCATGTGCTGATTTAGTATTTATCTTAAAATTAGTAACTTTACAAAGGAAAAATTATTTGACAGCCTTACATGTCTGAGTAATTTTAAATTAGTCTAACAGACCAAGTAATTTGTAAACAGAAAATACTTTGTGTTCTTTTAAAGAATATATTTTTTTCAATATATTATAGTTTAATAGGTTAGAGACAATGAGCAAACTTTTAAAATGTAAAAATAACAGATAAAGACACAATTACTATTGATTTCTCTCTTTAGGGGGGCCAGAAGTAATTGACCCAGCCGGTGTGCCATTACCTCAGCCAGCTCAATCTTGGGTATGGCTTGTGGATCTGGAAAGAACAATTGCTCTCCTCATTGGGCGATGTCTTGGTGGCATGCTTCAAGGCTCCCCTGTGTCTCCAGAGGAACAGGATACTGCATATTGGATGAAAACACCACTTTTCAGTGATGGTGTGGAAATGGACACCCCTCAGTTGGGTAATATGCTTCTCTGGAGCACGTGAAACACGTACTTCTTTGTTTCTTCTTGGAGATTTCTTACCTGAGTGTTAAATACAGAACTCATGCATTTTCCACATTAGTTTAAAAGAGGATCTAAAATTGTAATGTACAGTCCACAGAGAAAGTGTAGTGTGCAGCATGGCTGTGAACCACTAGTGTAGGGATGTGTGGATCGAGGGGAATGTTGGGCAGTAGTTCTCAACCTTTGGAATGCTGCAACCCTTTAATAGAGTTTTTCATGATGTGGTGATACCCAGCCATAAAATTATTTCATTGCTACTTCATAACTGTAATTTTCTACTGTTACGAATCATAATATAAATATCAGATATTTAGGATATGTGGTATGCCATCTTCAAGGGGGTCGTGACCCCTAAGTTTTGAACCCCCGGTATAAAGCCAATTATTGTAGCTCAGTCCTGTAATCCCAGCATTTGAGAGCCTCCGTCAGGAGAATTACTACAAGATCTAGTCTGAGGTATATGATAACTTTCAGGCTTTATTGGGCTACAATGGGAGACCTTCATTTCAAAAAAGCCAGAAATACAGGTCTGATCTTATTCTGTTACACTTTTCACTCATTTTGATCAAGTCATAGAAACAATGTTTGTGTTCTAAAGCTTGGGGTTAGAAAATCTCTTCCCTGAGTAGAATGCACTGGAAGAGTACCTATCAAGACTGAGCAATATGCAGTTTTCAGGCACTATCTTAGTTGGGGTTACAATTGCTGTGATGGAACACCATGACCAAAAGCACCTTGGAGAAGAATGGGTTTATTTGGCTTATACTTGTTCATCAATAAAGAAGTCAGAAGATGACAGGAACCTGGAGTCAGGAGGAATGCTGCTTGCTCCCCATGACTTGCTCAGCCTGCTTTCTCATAGAAACCAGGACCATCAGCCCTGGGGCAAACCCTCCCACAATGGACTGGGCCCTACCATGTTAATCACTAAGAAAATACCCTACAGGCTTATCTATAGTCCAATCTTATAAAGGCATTTTCTCAATTGAGAGTCTCTCTTCTCAAATGACTATAGCTTGTGTCAAGTTGACAGAAAACTAGCCAGCACAGCCACTACCCATAGGTTTGAATGGCAGGTCTTATTCCTCCTTTTGTAGTTTCCTTTGGGAATTCCTTTTCATTCCACATCTCCCATTTCTCTTCTTTGTTGGCTCTTAAACTGAACACAAGATTTATTCAGTGTCCCAGTATATGATCTAGTAGTTTTATGTACGATTGGTGTTTTAATCTCTCTGGGCCTCTAAATTTGACTCTGAAATATTAAGTAGGATTAGCTATCTTATAGTAAGACTAATTTTTGTTATTTTTCAAGTAAGAAAAAGACTCAGATATATACAAGGTAAAGTCAAGAGAGGGTGGGGAAGAGAGGAAATAAGAGGGAGCTCACAGGGTAGAAAAGGGCTGGGGTAGACAGGGAGAAAGGGAGGGTAGAAAGAAAAAAGTTTTGCTTTGGACATGCACATATGGTAAATAAGAGGAAGGAAAACAGTTCCTTTTTTAAATAGAAGCAAGTACCCATCGTTTCACTTTTGAACTAGAACGTGATTTTGACTGTGACTAATGAATGCTAGACTGACTGATACATATGATGCAGAGAAAATTAGATTGTGGGATACTCAGGCAACAATTAGCAGGATAAGATTCCAGAGTTTTCAGCACTCATGCTTGTGGTAGTCCTTAATAATCCCTTGAGTAAAAAAGGTGGCTGTTGATTCATACATACCTTTGAACTGGACTTAAGTATGAATAAAATAAACTTTAGTTTTAATATTATTTTTTAGCTTTTAAGAAATATAATTGTGTAACATCAAGAAAAGGTATTTGCCTCTGTAAAACTGAATGTGTAATAGTTCTATTATTTTATGGGTTGAATTGCCTTCTGGTACTTGTAAAAACCCTGATCATCATTTTGGAGCAGTGGAAGAAAAAAGTGAAGTGATTCAGCTGTAGGTGTGCACAGTCTCAGCATTGTAGTACTTGGGAGAAAGAGGGTCAGCCCAGACAGCAGGGTAACACCCTTGTTTCCAAAAATGTAGTAATTATTCTGGATGCTAAAGGTCCTGTTGAGAAGTTGTTCTCTGCATCTCTGATCCTTCTGAATCACTCTTAACTGATTGTTTCCCTTTAAGTCCATTAAAGATAAAGCATTTTATTGTCTTTCCCTGTGGTTCTACTTTTTTCAAAGAGGATACCATGCAGTTTTAATACAGTGTTCTCAAGATGTGCTTCATGTGTAGGACATTTTGCATCCCTGGCTCTATTTGCCAAATTGTCCATTTTTTTCTTTAGAGGGAGTTAGAGAGGTGATACTGTCTCCAACAAAAAAAATTAGAGGGCTTTGTTTTAGTAGTGTCTACTTTAGCCCCAATTACATAATTTCATATTTTGAGTATATTAGATTTTATTTGAAGTTATAAAATTTATGAAGTTTTAAATTGGGAGTTTAGCCAGATGGTAGTGGCACACATCTTTAATCCCAGCAGCTGGGAGGCAGAGGCAGGCAGATCTCTTAAGTTTGAGGTCAGGGTGGTCTACAGAGTGAGTTCCAGGACAGGCAGAGCTGCACAGAGAAACCCTGTCTCAAATCCCTAACATCAAACAAAGAGAACTGGAGGACTGATAGCTCAGGGTGTACAGTGTTTGCTGCTAGGACTGAAAACTGAGCTTCCTCACTAGGACCTGCTTGGTGGGAGGAGAAAAGTGACTCCTACAAGTTGTCCTCTGACCTCCCATATGCTGTGGTGCTCATACACACTTACACACGCATGCATGCACATGCACGCACGCACACACATACGCATGCACAGGGATGATGGGAGAAAGAGAAAAATGAATAAATAGAATTATTAATTTTTAACTTTTTTTTTAAAAAATAGATAAATGTATGAGCTGCCTATTAGAAGTAGCTCTTTCAGGAAATGAAGAACAGAAGCCTTTTGATTACAAATTGCGGCCTGAAATTGCTGTCTATGTAGACTTGGCATTGGGTTGTTCTAAAGAGCCTGCCAGAAGCCTTTGGATCAGCATGCAGGATTATGCTGTTAGTAAAGGTAAGATAAAGAGAATGACATGGGTAAATATATAGCTAACTTACCTAACTAGTTCAGGTGTGAAAAATGCATCAGGTTATTTGTCATATTCACATATATCCCATTTAAAGAAAATTGATTGCATTAAAGTTGGACTCTGTAATAAACCATTTTATAAAAGTATTCAGTGACTCATTAGAGAATGTGTATTTAGATGTATAGGCTGTAGGCCTCTGAGTATTTCGTTTATTTGTACTCCAGATTTCATTTCCACCCTCCGACTATTCCACATCCCATACCTCCAACACACCCCCCTGTCTCCACAAGGCTGTCCCCACCCCCCACCCCACTTGAACTCTAAACTTCCTGGGGCCTCCATTCTATTGAGGGTTAGGTACATCATCTTTATTTTAAGAGTATATACTCTATCTAGTATAATATATTCCATGGTCTGCCAACATAGAATTAGGAACGCAAGAATTGTCGGGCTGTGGTGATACACGCCTTTAATCCCAGCACTTGGGAGGCAGAGGCCAGCCTGGTCTACAAAGTGATTTCCAGGACAGCCAGGGCTACACAGAGAAACCCTGTCTCGAAAAAACAAACAAACAAACAAACAAACAGCGCAAGAATTAAAGAATGCAGGGGTGGGGAGGGGGAGGGACAACCCACCTAACTAGTTTGTTTTCTTTATTTAATGCTGCGGTTTGAGCTTTCAATTATATACATTCATTTCTGTTCAGATATTTTTAATTGGCCAGATGTTCTTGTACTCTCACAGGATCTACTTTTGTGGCTTAAAATAATACTATATATATGCAAATCATATACATGTCATATATAGTTTCATATGTGTGTGTGCATAAGTGAATAGCTTTTAAACTGCTTAATGGAAAGTGTTCACATCTAGAACACTTGTGTGGTCTTCCATTCTCCTATATTCTTGTTGGCTTCAAATTTTAACAGTACTTTCAGAATTTATATGAACTCTCAACTTGTCACTACTGAATTGTTTCTACCCTGGTTTGACCACCGTCATTGCTTACTGCAGTAATGAGTTCTGTTTTTACTATCTGTATAGTAAGTTCTTCATCCAAGAGGTAAAAAGTTTAAAATATGTCAGATCATGCCATTTCCGTGTTCAAAGCTCTCTGTACTGCTCCCCATTTTTTTTTTTAAAAAAGTCATATCTAAAGGGTTTGTACTGGTTTGCAAGACAAGTTATAGTCTAATTCCCCACCAGCTCTCTAATGTTGTCTCCTACCACTCTTGTACATGTATGTACCTTTGCTCCAGCAATTCTGACTTCTTGAACCCTCAAGCTGTGTTTTTTTTTTAAAAGATTTATTTATTTATTTTATTTATGATACACTGTCGCTGTCTTCGGACACACCAGAAGAGGGCATCCAATCTCATTACGGATGGTTGTGAGCTACCATGTGGTTGCTGGGATTCGAACTCAGGACCTCTGGAAGAGCAGTCAGTGCTCTTAACCGCTGAGCCATCTCTCCAGCCCGTCAAGCTGTGTTCTTAACACATGGCTATCCTAATGATGTTCTGTATCCATGGCATTTCTTTCCTTGCTTCACTTAGATCTCTGTTCAAATCAGAAAGCTCATCAGAGCACTCTGTATGAAATAATAATTATACAGCACAGTTCCCCAATTCTTACCCCACTTTGTTTCTCTCCGTAGCCCTTGCCTGTCATATTCAGTTACTGTTTTTTGCATCTCCATACCCCATACCACGATTCAAATTCCATGAGATCTGAGTTATGGTTCAAAACTGTATCCACAGCACCTGAAACAGTATTTGTGCATTTGTTCAAAATGTCAGTGAAATTCAGGTGTTTGGAAGTGAAAGCTATTAATATTACCTCAGAACTGTTTTCTGAGTGTTTTAAATGTCACTGTATCATTTTATTTTCAGATTGGGACAGTGCAACTTTAAGTAATGAATCACTCTTGGACACTGTGTCTAGATTTGTTCTTGCAGCACTCCTCAAGCACACAAACTTACTTAGCCAAGCATGTGGAGAAAGCCGGCAAGTAACTTAAAAACTATCCTCAGACAAATATTTGCTCTCATGATGTTAGAAATTAGGTAACTTTTCTATTTTGGTTCTTTATTTAGATACCAACCTGGTAAAAGCTTATCAGAAGTGTATCGTTGTGTATACAAAGTTCGAAGTCGTTTACTTGCTTGCAAGAACCTTGAACTTATTCAAACCAGGTCATCATCACGAGACAGATGGGTAAAGTTGGAAATCAATTAATTTCTATCTTTTCCTGCAAGCTTGTCAGAGGTGGCCCCACAATTTATGAAAAACATGCCTTGATTTGTGCGAATGTTCAGAACATGCTAGCATGTTTTCTAGTGGAAAGTACTGGAAGAATAAAAGTGTTGGGGTTTATTTACCCCATTTTCGTCAAATGCAATAGGGCTGCTAGGTAATAGCCTGCATAGATGATAGTTACAAACCAGCGTGTTCATAGCATGGGTGACGGTCTACTTTGTTGTTATTGATTAACTTACATTGGAATTACCCTGTTTAACTTATGATGCCAGAAATTATCAGAGATATTACCAGATACCTCAGGTTGATTTAAAAAATGCAACAATCATACAAGAACTGAAAATTATTAAAAATTCTCAGTGTAGAAAAGGTGAAAAAAAGCCAAGGTTATAATCAGTGCAGCAGTCCTGTAGTTATAGTTGTATCCTCTGACAGTGAAGATTGAGGCCACTAATTGAGAATGGTCCAGGGTAAATACGGGAACAAGTAGATGATTTTGAAAGGGCTTAGTGATTCTGAAAGCACAACCCTGTGATTATAGAAAGAAGCCTGAGAGCGTCCTCTTCACAGTGCTTACTTTAAAACCGGGACACATCAGAGCCTTCATTCTTTGTAATTTAGTTTCTAAGCATAGACAACAGACAAGACTTCAGCATGTACTGATTAGGATTTATGGATATGAATATTTGAGAGTGACCTTAAATGTTCAGAAGAAATATTAATTTATCATTTCTTGAGGCTCTAATTTGAAACTCATGTATATGAAAGTCAATATATGACAGATGAGCCTCACTGCTAAGTATTTGTATATTGTGACATTTCTAAGTTTTTTACTGGTCATGAATCACGGATACCTTTTATTATGATTATTATTGACAATTTTTATTTGTACTTTGTATTGAAATGTAAGAGATGTATTATTTAGCTACAATATTTGAGACTTTTCTAAGTCTAGATGACTGTTGGGTAGCATGACCGTCATGAGAAACTACATGAACATTGTTATTAACAGATTGGGAAGTTCGGGATTTTTGTGGGTGAGAAGGAGGGCAAAGTTAAATTTTAACATGTGCTATCTTAAGTTTAGAATTCTTGGTGACCTGGTAGAGTTATATGGTAGAGTGCTTATTAAGCTTGTGGAAGGCTTTGAGTTTGAACCCTAGTACTGTTCCCACAGCATTTGTTTGTACAGAGTAATAGCATAGAGAACTTGAAGGGAACCATAGAATAAAATCATCACCTTTTGCTGGCCATGATGGCACACGTCTTTAATTCCAGCACTCGGAGGCAGAGGGAAGTGATTCTCTGAGTTAAAGACTAGCTTGGTATACATAGTGAGTTCCAGCACAGTCAGGGCTAAATAGACCTATCTTAGACCAACCAACCAACCAAACAGTAACAAAACCCCAAAACCAAGTAACAAAAATCACCTTTATGCTTGTATCATGTTGTAACTTACATTGCAGCTTTGTAGTTTATAGCCAAACACAAACTAAAGGTGGATCAATTTATAGCATGACATTTCAATGAAAATACCAGTCAGAAAAGAACATGCATATGTCTGTTTGTATATATGTGCATATAGTCTGTGTAATCTTTGCAAATTACCAGTGTATCATTTGTGAAGCTTATGTGTTATTGATATCAGCAGGATTTTCTAAGACATAAAAATATAGTTTTCTTGAAAACTTTTTAAAGCTTTGAAAAAAATATAGTCAATGTAGTTTCCTATCATTTCTTTAAGATCTCAGACAACCAAGACTCTGCAGATGTTGATCCTCAAGAGCATTCCTTTACCCGGACCATTGATGAGGAAGCCGAAATGGAAGAGCTGGCTGAGAGAGACAGGGAGGATGGCCACCCAGAGCCAGAAGATGAGGAAGAAGAACGGGAACATGAAGTAATGACCGCTGGCAGTAAGTACATTCTTCTTACTTGAGACGTGAAGATCATGACATTCTGTAGGAAAACAGAGAAAGAGTGTCTATGTAGTGCTTCTAAAAGCATCTGACACTGTGCCAGGGATTTAAGTTTGCAGTAGCCAACATTATAGGAGACTTTTGAAACCAGGGTAGTGTCACTCTAATGTTTTTGTATTGCATGTTCTGGTTTGAAAAGCCCTTAAAGTTTCAGTTTTCATCAAGCTGGAGACCTCTTTGTGGAGAAGGAACCCCTTACTGTGCCATTTAGGAGGCCCAAATTATGTTTTATTTGTAGAGCTTTTGAAATTGCAAATTTCAACTATAATTTCTTTCAGAAGGTATAAGAGATAGAAGCAATGATAGAACAATGATATGAGAATAACTTTGAGTGTATGGATGAAACTTTTTATATTCTAAACCTCCAGATAATTTTTAAAAAGTAGTTATTTATATGTTTAAAGAGAATTATCAAAGCTTTTCAAATCTTTATCAATATCTTAAGTGATTTGGGTATTTTACATTAACATACATATTTAGTTTGTAGCCTACAACCTCAAGTACATTTGATTTTGACATTATTTGTGTATATTTTCAACTTACAAGGAGGTGGCATTGGGATTAAATTTAGGCTTTTAGAAATAAGACAAGCACTGTACCTTTGATCTGTATGCCCTAGCTATAGTATACATTTAACTGCTTTCTGTGTATTTCTAAAAGTTATTTTGAGATGTCTCAAAGAAAACTAAAAAGAATTTAAACAATAAAAAAATAAGGTGGAATAAAGGAATTCACAGATAGGGAGGTTGACTAGTAGAATTTTGCAAGCTAAACTGAGAACTTCCGTAGCTAAATAAAGCATTAGTTCAAAAATTTCTGGAAAAGAGGTCAGAGAGAACAGCATAATAACACTAGTATTCCCTTACAATAAAACAAAACATAACAGTCATTTGGGGAATGGTAATGTATAAACTTGCATTGGGCCTGGTGTCTGGGGTTTCCACATAGTGATTCATAATTCTTATAGTAGTCTTAAAGTTCTAATAATGTTCCATTGTAAAGATAGGAGAATTGAGGCTTAAGGAGGCAGAATTATGTACCTAAAGCCACAGTTAGTAACAGCTTGAATTAGAACCAGTTCTGGAAATTCTTTTACTGACTTCTACCTCTGGACTCTTGAGCATTTTTGCTTTAATTTTACAGAAGTAAGGAACATTTTATAGCATAATGAAAAATATATTCTCCAAATGTAAAGGTCCAATATGAGTTTAAAGGACAGCATGGCTCAGTGGGTAAAGGTCATTCTGCCAAACCAGGCAACCTAAATTTGATCCCTAAAATGATGAAAGGAGAGAACCAACTCCTGCCAGTAGCTTCTGATCTCCACACGTCTGCCTCCCCCAATACATAAATAAAATAAATGTTAAGAAATAAAGTTGTACACACTTTTAAATAGTAATTTTCATATTAATGGATGAACCTAATGTTTTGCCAAGTTTTTTTCCTGAATTTCCCGTTAAGAATAAATACCACTTATACTCTAAATTTGAGCAAAAATTTTTTTAACTATTGTAAAATATTCACTATTATAATAGCAGACTCAGAACGAACCTTGCTGATTCAGTAGCATTTTATACTTGTGAGCAACATGGGCTGTGTCAAATGGACCTCCATGATGATGGTGTCTTAACTGTGGAGGCAGTCTTGCCTATCATAAACAGTTTCAGTTTTAGCAAAGACTTAGTGGCTGCTCTTTTTTAATGTGTTTAAGATGCAGTCAAGTTCAATTGTTAGAAATTATATAAACTCAGATAGGAAGAAGCTTTTCATTATTCATAAGCTTAAATTTGTCTGTTTTCCAGTATAAAGGCAAAAAAGGAGGAGGAGGGATGGGATAGAGGATTAATGGGTGGGGGAACGGAGAAGGGGGATGACATCGGAAATGTAAATAAATAAAATACTGAATAAATAAAATAAAATAAAAATAAAAAAATTCATCTGTTTTCCTTGTAACCTGACATTTTTTTCTATACCAAGGTGTTGAACATTTCAGAAATAAGCAAGTTTTTTGTTCTTGAAACATAACCTAGAGAGCAATGGCTCTCGACCTATGCATTACAATCCCTTTTGGGGTATGTCAAACGGATTTCATAGGGGTCTTCTAAAACCATCCTGTGTATTAGGTATTTACATTATGATTTGTGACAATAGCAAAATTACAGTTATAAAGTAGCAGTGAAAATAACTTTATTGCTGGGGGTCATCACAACATGAGGAACTATTGTGTCACAGCATCAGGGTCACAGTGTTAGGAAAGATGAGAGCTACTGACCTAGAGCTTTATATTGATCTTTAGAACCAGCCAGAGGATTTGTTAAAACATTGCTGGGCTCCGTTTGTAGAGCTTCTGATTCTTCAAGTTTGGGCGGGCCTGATATTTGCATTTGCACAGTTGCACAAAAACTGTAGCTGCTGCTGGTCTGAGACTATACTTTAGAAAACTGACCTAACTCACTAGTAAGATTTGAAATCCTGGAGAAGGGGACCCACTCTGTCATTCTTTGGTTCTTATGTAACCTTTTTGACTAGATGTAGGAATCATATTACTACAAAAGCTGATTAACAAAAGCATAAAATGTTTGTTGCTTTTGCATGTACATGGGGATCCTCATAAGAAATTGAATTTGAAAAGAAATGACTAAGTCATTAAATATAAATGATTTTGTATTTCGTCAATAAAGAACAATTAATTTAAGAAATGATAGGACAGGTAGGGGAAATTCTAAGGATGTTATAAGAAAATCTGGGAAGCAGGACAGGTAGTCACATTAGAGAATTTAGCCTGATTTGGCAGCCCCATTAGCAGTCTGTGGTGACTGAGGCTATTTCTAACCTTGATCCTCAAAGGATGTCTCCTCTCAAAAGAGTCTACATGACTTGCTTCATGGGAGGAAAAGACAGGCCAAATGGCCCTTTTCAAAGTCACAGATGTCATGTGATTACACCTAAGTAGTCAGTTTACCAATTTGACGTGTTTTAAAATGGCACAACTCTAATTCTTTGAAGGTGGAACCATCCAAACCAAATTCTATGATGTATATACACATTTCCTATTGCAATTTTTATGAAAAGTATGATACTTGCTGTAACTTTCTTAATATGCTATATTTCTTGTCTAAAAACTGATTTTTCCCTGTTTCCGTAGGTTTTGGTTCAAACTTCGTGACTATTTTCATTGTTATTTTCTTTGCTTTTCTCCCCCACGTGTTAAGACCTTGTTTTTGTGTTGCATGTTACAGAAATCTTTCAGTGTTTCCTCTCAGCCCGAGAAGTAGCTCGCAGCCGAGACCGAGATAGAATGAACAGTGGGGCAGGGTCTGGGGTCCGAGCTGATGACCCACCTCCACAGTCTCAGCAAGAGCGACGGCTCAGCACAGACCTTCCTGAGGGGCAGGATGTATACACTGCTGCCTGCAACTCTGTGATCCACCGCTGTGCGCTCTTAATATTAGGAGTGAGTCCTGTGATTGATGAGCTTCAGAAGCGAAGGGAAGAAGGGCAGTCGCAGCAGCCTTCCGTGAGTGCCTCTGAAGGCACTGGACTTATGACCAGGTGGGCCTGACTGAAAACTGAAAATGTTGTTCTCTTCCCTGTGGTACTTTTTACAGTGAGTTTCTGTTTGGTAGTGTCAAAGACAGAGGGTGAAATACAAGTTGGCTAGAATGAATTGAAAAACAGTAGTGCTGGTTCAGCACTACTCCATGAAAGGAAGTTTTCCATATATATAAACAGCCACAGTTAACAAACATCCAAAAATTACTCACATCGTTCTGTAATGTAACAGTATAAAAATATTTGATGTAATTCCAAAGGGTTTTACTTTATTACGCGAGCCAAGCTTTCTATGGGCGGACATAATGATTTCACTGGGCTTGATGTTCCTGTCGCTAGTTCCATTCAGTTTATGTTCACTAACAGTCCCTAATCAAAACCCTTTTCTTTGTGTATGTGAGACAGGAGTGAAAGTCTCACTGCTGAGAGTCGCCTCGTTCATGCAAGTCCAAGTTACAGACTGATCAAATCAAGGAGTGAATCTGATTTGTCTCAGCCTGAATCAGATGAAGAGGGCTATGCACTGGTAGGTACATAAGAGTCCTTGAAAGAAGGACTCTTGCTTTCAAGCTATAGATATATAAAGCTTTTGGGTAGAATCATTTATACTTGTTTTAGGCATTTACAAACTTGTAAGATTTATAATAGAAATAATATAGCTATATTACATTTGTCAGTGGTTTTGATCTTCAGTCCTGACTTATTCCTGAGGTCCTAATTCATAGATTTGACTCTTGCCTAGACTGCTGGATGAGTTGGTCTGCCCAAATCTTAGCTCATACAATAGTGGTTTCTTCTTTCTCATAACCTCCTTCTCTAGTGGTTTATTAGGTGGTAACCCAGTATTCTTATATGTCTAGTAGTGCCCCTAGGTTGTTAGTCAATGAAATATAAATCTTTTTCAAATAAACAAAGGTGACTAGTTCAATGATAAATCTTTATTTGAGCCTTCTTTTGTAACATATATTTTATAATGAATTATCTACTCTGTCTTAGTGAACCAAAAATACCGAACCCTATTTGATTGGCATTCATTGAATCATTTGAATTAGACTGTCATTCTTTTTTTTTTTTTTTTTTTTTTTTTGGTTTTTTCGAGACAGGGTTTCTCTGTATAGCTCTGGCTGTCCTGGAACTCACTCTGTAGACCAGGCTGGCCTCGAACTCAGAAATCCGCCTGCCTCTGCCTCCCGAGTGCTGGGATTAAAGGCATGCGCCACTACCGCCCTGCTAGACTGTCATTCTTACCAACGTTTTGTGGCTTACTTTTAATGCTATTACTAGCTTCATAAGAACTAAAAGGGTTCAGCATATAGCAAATACTTTACAAAAGGATAATCTATATGAATGGATGAATATTGAAAAAAGACTATAGATAAGAAGATAAAGCCCCGAGTAAGATTTATGCATTGCTAGGAATTTTCTAAGTAGAGAGGTGCCACCAAGATATATTATCCAATTCAGAGTGTCTAAAAGATAAAGACAGCTCAGTTAAAGAGAAGTAGCTATTTCTAGGTTTGAGGTGAGATTAATTTTTTCTTACACAAAGGTATATGTGATGAAAAAATTTTATAACACAGTCTTTAGGAGACTAGTTGGATGATTTGTTTTATTCAGCATAAAATGGCCTTACTAAGACCTAGCACTTTGAATTGATGTATATCTATAGACAGATAAGACAACATATGTTTACCTGCACTTTTGTACATGTGTATGTTTGTTTATGTCATAGGTAAAGGCTTTCTACAGTACTTATCAAATGATCCTCTTCCATAGTCTTATATATATTCTTCTGTTTGTGTGAACACTGTCAAAGTACAACTGAAATTGTCATAATGTTAAATACATGAACTTACGTTAACTTAGTATAGTTTATATGTAATTGTCTGTGCATATGGACAGTTGAGAGTAGACAGTCTGTACCTTCCACCGCCTGATACAGAGATAATAAACTTCTGTTTTTCTTAAGTTGTCTGCAGTTTCATCAATTGGGATTTCTCTATTTTAACAGATTTAATAAAAGCTTAAAAGTATTTTTGAATGCCAGTAGAGTCTTAGAACTCTGTAACTTTCTTTGTTAGAGTATTTCTCAGGTGATGTCTGAATTCCCAGTCAAGGCTAGTGCAAAGTTTAAAAAGAAAGGAAAATAAAGCCAGAAAAAGAAGTAGTAATTTTGAGAACTAAGACATTATTGCAGTGGTTTTAGGTATTTAACATATTATTGTCATGCTGTAATTGGGAGACAAGCATAAAGACGAGAAAGGCAGCAGCAAATACAACCGTTGCCCTTTCATTGTGGTAATCAATGCATGCGTTTTTGCTTGAGTTTGGATCTGTGAAGTTATATGTGTGAAACAATATAACTTCTGAAACAACTTCTATAGTTGTTTTCAGTGGGTGTGTTGTTGGTCTGACTTTATTGGTGAAAAAATAGGACATTACTATAACTATATGGGTTATTTTAATGCTTTATTAAATGTTAATAAAACTTTTTAACACCTAAACTTTTTTTTTAACTTGTTATAGAGTAGCCGCCGGAATGTTGACTTTGATTTGGCATCATCTCATAGGAAGAGAGGTAAAGCCAGCTTAAATTAAGTGCTGTCTTTCTGTCTGATACATTTCAATCTAATTGTTACTGGGATATCATTACCAAAAGCAATTGAGAATATTTTATTAGAAAAATTAAAAGGAACGTAATTTTCTCCAAAATGCACATATATTTAAAATCTGGGAATGCATATCAGTTAATTATTAGCATTGTTTTTTCATGTGTTTTGTTTAAAAAAGCACTTTTAAGAGGTATTATAGAATTCCAGAAATGCTGCCTGTCTTTTTTGGGAGATTATGTGTATAGCTTTCTGTGCTCTAGCTCACTAGTGGAGTTGCCTAATACACACATACATACACCTTCAGATAAAAGTTTCTTCATTGCCTTTCCTGTTTGTTCTTTTATTATATGGGATGCAGTATTATAGTATTACCAGAAGTCTTTTCTTCGTAGCTCTAGATTAATGGGTATTAGTCAACACATCGCAAATGGAGGAAAAGAGCAGTGGCTTTAGATAATATAATCCAAGGGTAACTGGAAATATTCTTAAATATTAATATTCTCTTATTAACTAACACTTTCATTTATGTTCGTAATAGTTTTATAAAAATATAAATTTTTTTTTTGGGGGGGTTTCGAGACAGGGTTTCTCTGTACAGCCCTGGCTGTCCTGGAACTCACTCCGTAGACCAGGCTGGCCTCGAACTCAGAAATCCGCCTGCCTCTGCCTCCCAAGTGCTGGGATTAAAGGCGTGCACCACCACTGCCAGGCAAAAAATATAAAACGTTAAGAATCTCCACTGGTGACTGTTTTCTAAAAGCTTGTGAAAAAAATGTGTGTCTGTGATACTAAACTTCTGTTCTTCAACATGAAACCCTTTCTTGGTGTTTTGGGCTTCTCCCATATGTAAAAAGAACCAGAACCAAACAAAACACTACAAACAAAGAAGAGAAGATAAGGAATGTGGAAAAGGAACATTATAGGTTATATGATTTTTAAAAATTTACATGCCGGGCAGTGGTGTCACATGTCTGTAATCCCAGCACTTGGGAGGCAGAGGCAGGTGGATCTCTGAGTTCGAGGCCAGCCTGGTCTACAGAGTGAGTTCCAGGACAGCCAGAGCTACACAGAGAAACCCTGTCTCGAAAAACCAAAAAGAAAAAAAAAAACCACAAACACACACAAACACACACACACACACACACACACACACACACACACTTAGAAGACAAGACATTGTTACTCCTGTAGAATAAATTTTACTGCAATATTAGAACTATTAAGGCCCAGAACTGATACTTTTATTGAAAGATCTTGAAATTATAATGTATCAAAGGTTCTGGGTTTCTTCAAAACAGAACCAAGTTATTTGTGATATAAAGGAAAACTCAATATTATAAAAGTATTTATTATAATATTCTAATTTTATATATTATGATTTATGTTTAGTATAAAATTATTATAAAACATTAATATAACATACAGTATACATTCTATTTAAAATACTTTGGAAACTGACAGTTCATTTGATTTAACAATCAAGTTTTGGAACATAACTTACCTTTCTAGCTTGTTTAGCTAAGGTGAATATTGTTAACCGTTCTATGTTAAATCTGAGCATACTGGTGCCTGCCTGTTATACCAGCACTCAGCAGCGGTATGGTAGTGCTTATTGATTCCAGGGAGTGAGCAGCTGTAGACTTGCTGAGGAACAGAGGGGAACTAACCTATAGTTTGAGACCTTGCTAATGTAACATTCTGGCATAGCTGTATTTGTAAGTGGTAGTCCATTGACTGTAGTTATTTTTTTTTGTTTTACAACTTTTTATAATGCTCTTGAAGTATACAATTTGATATTTAATCCCTAATCATGCCAGTGTGAAACAAGTATCTTTTAAATAAAGGAAATACTTCCTTTTAAATAAAGGAAGTATGTTTATCTTCGAATAGTATGGAGTAGTCCATATTTTAATTGCAAATCAATGCATTAAAATTATAGAATTGTTGCCTATTGATTTTTTTCAAAGCTTTTATCCTAAAACTATGTATAAATCTCCTATAATTTTAACTCTAAATAGATATAAATTAATAAACCATTAATCTTAACTTGATGCATGGACAAACCATCTTGCTTAAAAATCTCAAGGTAGTACTAGCACCTCCCTATTTTCTTGTTGGAATTTATCTTTTTTGTTGTTGTTTTTAAATCAGAAAAGCATATAGAGACCCTTATGGAATTTTTTTATAACTACTCATTTGGAAATCACAATATGGAGGCAGAGTGATTATTTGAAATTTTATCAAATCAGTTAATGTGGCAGCAATTTGTCGTGTCATTTTTTCTGTCTTAATGTTCCCAGAGAACACATTTGTTCTTTATTTTATTTCTAGGGATTACAATAAAGTAACTAGAAAGTAAAAGAGTTACTATTTTAGGAATGTAATCCAAAACAGTTACTTTTCCGTCTCACAGTCCTAGACTTTAATACATAATAAAATACATACTTTATAGATTTTATTTTATTTACTATAATAAAAACCTTTCGTCAAAATCACGGAAAGTACAGTTTCAGAGTGTCTGGATGGATGGTTCAGTGGTTTAGGCATATACTGCTCTTGGAGAGGACTACCGTTTTATTCCTGTCATCCATATCAGGTTGCTCACTACCTGTAACTCGAGGGCCACAGGGTCGCACGCTCTCATAGATCACCAGTTTCAGGTGAAAAGCTGTGTAGACAGACTCTGTTTCAAAACAAACAACAACAAAATAATCACTGGTATTCATATGCACAGATCCCCCACCCCCGCAAAAAACCCACATACTTTTAAATAAATGTTTAATTAAGAAATTAAAAACGTTTGATACATGTTCTAAATTTTTACAAATCTTATGTATTTAATGATTAGCCTTGTACCATACACTAGAGGAAGTACATATTTTGTTTTGCTTTTAAATAGTAGTATAGTACTTCTTATTCTTATTCACTTGTCAAACTGAATCAGATTCCATAAGCTTTAAAATGCATATCTTGTCTGTGACAGTTGAACCTTCCAAGTATGAGAACTATTTTGGTCAAACTGTTTGTTGTGAAAGTGTGACCTGTACTCTGGGGAACAAACAAATGTCTAGCCGAAGGGGATTTTTTTATATGTACGTTTACTCATTTCTAGTATTTGAGGAGGAAATACATTTTCTCTTAAGTAGCTTTTCCATTTGTTGTTCCTAGCTGTTCTCACTTTTTCAAAGTCAGATAAGAGGAACAAAAGAAGCAGTAGTTTTAATTATACCCTTTTTATTAAAATTGAATGTGTGAGTAAATGATAATTAGTGGTCAGTGTGTATCCAGGTCTCTGTTTAAAAAGCTCCTTGAAAGGGTTTATCACCTGTACCTCACTCAGTCTTTGACATTAGGCATATTAAGATTCATGCTAATGAACCATGAGTGTTCTGTTTAAAACCCTTCATTCTGGCTAGTGTTTCCCTGTGATCTATGCAAAACACGGAAGGTGCAAAGCCATGGAAGCATATAGCCTTTAGCCAGACCACTTGGTTCATCTTTTCAGAGAGATTAATGTCAAAGTCTCGGCTAGAAGTTTTGTAGTAACAGCTGTATGGTGGGGACTGAAGGGTGGTGGTGGGGCAGGAAAGGCTTGATTGACCACGAGAGGTGCAGACAACATGGGTGCCATAGCAAGACTCGATTGGGGAACAAAACAAAATAAAAAAAGCTAAATTCTTTTTTTTTTTTTTTTTAAATTTTATTTTTATTATATGTAAGTACACTGTAGCTCTCTTCAGACACCCCACAAGAGGGCATCAGATATCATTACAGATGGTTGTTAGCCACCATGTGGTTGCTGGGATTTGAACTCATGACTTCTGGAAGAGCAGTCAGTGCTCTTAACCACTAAGCCATCTCACCAGCCCAAAAAGCTAAATTCTAAAATTAAAAACTACCTATAAAGTTTATTAAAAAGAAACAGATGAAGCAAGTTCCTCAGGGACAAAGTGAAATTTCTATTCAGAAACTTATAAACTGCTCATTATCACCAAACATTATTTTAAGCGCTTCACAAATATGAACTCATTTATTCACAAGTTTATCAATTTCTCAACCAGACTTCCTAAAAACTGTTGACATTTTGGTATTTTGACACATACATAAAAGATTTGCTGTGACTGTGCAGCTAAGTAGTTACAGAAAGATAACACCTTCACTGCTGCTTGCTCTCTCCTGTGTAAGCTGAAGCTGCTATGGTGAAAGCGGTAGAATCTCAACAGTTTAAGAAGCAGTAGCAGAAGCCTTATTAGGTAAACTCTATTAGTTAAAGTGTAGTTTGAGTCCCATCTCTCAGGCCTTTGTCAATGTTGTTAGCATTTCATTGCTGAAGTAATGCTGGAAACATTTATCAATGTGTGTTTCATGATGTAGCAAATTGGGTGAAATGCTATTTTATCTGTGCATTTCAAGTTACATAAAGAATGTAAATGTTATCTCCTTTTGTCTCCTGATCCTCACGTGGTAGGGTATTTACTCCTTTTTGGCCAGTTGAGCCCCAGAAAAAAGAAGAGCTTCAAGCAAGTACACGATGGCATGTTTACATTTCTTCCCCTTTTAGCTTGCCTACATATTTTATGATTTATAAAGTATGTATTGCAGCTCAGCCATGTTCATTTTGAAAATTCCATTTAAGAACCAGAGTTTGTAAGGACAAGTAAACAGTCTCAAAGTCTTGCTGACCTGTTTCTTTAGATGTCACCTCTGAGTTAGTAAATAGTAAGCACTGACCTTCATCTCAACTGAGGTACAGAAGCCTTCCCTTTTAGCTTGCGTACTTTTTTTGAGATAAAAAACACAGAACACTCTAAAGTTAATAGGGTTTTTTTTTTTTTAAGTAAAATTCTGTCTCACATTTCTCTATGTTTAAGTTTTTGACCTCCATTGTTTTGGTGTGTGTGTGTGGTTTGTTTTTTGTTTGTTTGTTTGTTTGTTTGTTTTTGAGACTACTATAACTGTGTGGCTGGGCTGGAACACATGTAGACCAGGCTGGCCTGGAACTGACAGAGATCGTCTTTTCTCTGCTTCCTGAGTGCTGGTATTAAAGGTGTGCACCATGCCCCTTCTTTTTTCTTGATTTTATGTTTTATTCATAAGGAGTTTATTTGAATCATGTACCCAATAATTTTACCCTTTAAGGTTTTTCAAACTACTTCTAGTAGGCCAAGTCTGACCTTTCACTATTTTTGTAAATTGAAATAAAGCCATACTCATTTGTTTATCGACTATCTGTTTTCTTATGACAATAGCAGGATTGAGCAATTGTTGCTGGGACCTTATGGACCACTGGACTGTTTACTATGTGACACATGACAGAAAAAGTTTGCTGACTCCTGCTTTCAGAAGGGAATTTAGTTTGTACAGTAATTCCATGGAATATTCCTCTGTGTATAAAGGCAGATCACTATTGGTAGATTAGTAATCGAGCCTTTTTTATAATTAATCAAGCAATTGAAATTTCCCTGGATCTGTGAGCTTTGAGTCATTAAATAACAGCAATTTATGAGCCTATTTCACCTAGAATTAAAGAACCAATGTTGCTTGTTTGGGAAAGTCGTCTGTGTGAGCATTTGTGTCCTTCTCAGCTGTGGAAATGGAAGTAGGTCGTCCTTCAGGTCTCGTTCATCTCTGTGGCTCTGACACTGGACAGTAGACGTGAGGGGCTCGTTCTGAAGAGTAGCTTGCATGTGTTAAAGAAAGAGGCTGCTGTATTCTGAAATTTTGCTAGTAAGTAAAATAAGCTCAGTGCAGCGAACTAAAACCTGACATTCATTGGTTAAGTCATATATAGCCCTTCAGTTTGGACAGCTTAAGAAAATGAGAAATGAGTATCTTTGTTTAAATTTCTTCCTTATTTAAAAAAAATATTTTAACATGATATATACCCATGGATATTATTTTTTTTCTATATTATATGAAAGCTATACATACAAGTTGGAATTTTTTCATATTACCTTTCATCTCTGTAAAAGTGAAAATTAAAGATTTTCCCCCTCTGTTTTAGAAATGGAGTTCAGAATTTTATGTGCATACTAGGCATGCTTTCTTCTGTGGAACTATATCTCCAGTTCTGGAGCTTTTATTAAAAAGAATTCTTGGGACTTTGGAAATGGCTCAGTGGATAAAGTACTTGTGAAGACCTGAGGTCAGGTCCTGAGAACCCACATAAAGCTGAAGTGTCTGTCTGTGTGCTTATAATACTAGCACTTTATGGCAAGAAGGGAGGGAAGGTGGGAATAGCTCAAAGCTTATGGGCCATCTAGTCTGGTATACACAGCAGCAAAAACCAAGAAACCCCATCTCAAACAAAGTTGAAGGCAAAAGACAGACATCCAAGATTGTCCTTGCCTGCACTCATTCCTCCATGCATATCAAATACTCATTACCGTCCACCAACACACAGACAGACAGACAGACAGACAGACACACCACCACCACCACCACCTCCAGAAGCTTTTGAGAAAAAAAATATTTCATGAAAATATAAAAGGTACTTAAAAGGTAATAATTCTTTGGTATATGAATTATTTTTATTAGGACATTTAATAGTTTGTAATATTAGTTCCCCATTAAGAATGTCCATGTCAGATTTTAAAACCCTGAGATTTAACTGGCACCAGTATAATTGTCAAAGGAGGAAGACTATGCTTAGTATTGTAATAGAGTTTCTTCCCCTGCGGCCGCTAGTGTGGAAGTAGTAATCTTTCCAAACGTTTCTGTTGGGTGTAATTTTACAAGTACAATTTTTTTTTATACGTAATTTTGTTGGGTACCTTAAATTTCCTAATATAGAAAGTTGGTATGTTTATGTGATAGGATATCATTTAACAGCCAAACAAAGGAATTCTGGCTACATATAGTAATTTGGACTTATGTGGCAATACTATATTGCATAAAAAGAATATATCTAAGATGATTACATAAGTAATACTTTGTCTACAATGTAAAAAATGGCTAAAACTGAGGCTGTATGGATGAATCAGAGTTCTCGCTATGCAAATGTAAGGACTGGAGTTTGTATCCCCAGAATTACCTGAAGGCCAGTTGGCTTTAGTAGTCCACCTATGACCCCATTACAAGGGAGGCAGAGATGGGGGAATCCTCAGAGCAAGCTGGATAGCTGACTAGCCAAAGCAGTGAGTGGTAGGTTCATTGCAAGACCCTACAACAACATGTTAATGGAGAATAATTCAGGAAGACACCCTAAGTCAAACTTTATTCAGGTGCATAAACATTCATGTGCATCTAGAAACATACAGGTGTTTATGTCCCCCCCCCCACATACTCAATACATGCCTATGCAAATAATAACCACAGCTAAACATTATCCATCATTAGAGTAAATGAATGCAAGACAAAATCGGATAGCAGTAAAAGGAAGAGAATAAGCCTAAGCTTCAGACTAGTAAAAATTTAGGTAGAAAACAAATTGATACAGGTTTTTGTCAGTTTTATATTTATATTTAATAATAATATAAATATATAAATACAAAAGCAGGCCAAACATAGAACAATGATGAGAGGGTTAATTATGAACCAAAAGTATAATTAAACAAACTTGGCTCCTTAAGAATGTTTAAAGACAATGTATATAGATTGGATATGGATAAATTTTATTTAAAGCTAAACTTGTCATGGAACTTTGTTATTTTTGTATTCTAACATGGTAGGGTTTGATGTTTACAGGTTTAACGTAAAAATACTCATCAGCAAACTAATAATACTTAGCTATTACTGCTGCTAATACAGACTGCTGATAAATACCATTACTATTTTACAATAGAAATGTGAAACTTTGCTTCCTTTATATAGGCACTTAACAACCTGAGATAAATACGCACATGGCAGGTAGTGAGAGAGCTCCTTATGTTATTGAAACCCAAAAGTGGTGTTTATGTCTCTTTTTTCTAAGTTTGCTTGCCTTTGTATAGTCATTTTTGCTAATGTTTCATTGAAGATGTGTAGACATTTTGTGCAGTTGTGACTTCCCTTTACAGTGATAATGTTAGGTCAGATAAAATCCTTTCTTAATAAGAGTTCTAAGCGCCCATGCTGTTGCTCATGAGTAATGGTGTTTTGTAATACTTTAGAGCCTTCTTGGTTAAGTATTTAGAGAGCAGCTTCTGCCTTTATTTTCTTGTGGTAGGCTGTTGCTAAAGCACTTACATGGACACTGATACATCAACAAGGCTTTCTCTTTAGTTTCTTACATTGCTCTTAGCTTTTATTTTTGTTCGTTTGCTCTTTTGTTTTAAACCGAAGCATTTTGCCCAGATTCACTTCATGCATGCGTGTGTTCAAACACGAGCACTCATCTCTCACCAGTCGCTATGGTAGTAGCCCTCAGCCTTCATCTAGTTTGGGAATGTGTTCTCTTCTCTACTTGATTGCTGGTGATGTACGAATTTTTTTACCCTTATTTTCATGTAGGTCCTATGCATAGTCAATTAGAATCTCTGAGTGACTCTTGGATTCGCCTGAAACATACCAGAGCTTGGTTCTACAACTCCTCTTACTCCTTTGAGTCTGATTTTGACCTAACCAAGTCTTTGGGAGTTCACACATTGATTGAAAATGTTGTAAGTTTTGTGAGCGGAGATGTGGGGAATGCCCCAGGTTTCAAGGAGCCAGAAGAAAGTATGTCTACAAGTCCCCAGGCCTCCATCATTGCAATGGAGCAGCAGCAGCTAAGGGCAGAGGTGAGTTGTGACTACTTACTCCTTCTAAGCAACTCTGGAAACCTAAAGTGATCCACTGAACATGTAATTCTATGAAAGCTTTGCCCGTATTCTCTTTGATATCTGCCTCTCTCAGAGAGAAAGGGGGGGGCGGGAAGGAATATGATGCAATGCCATGTATGTAGCTGTGTAGCATCTAGAGGTTAGATTGGGTGTCCTCCTCTACAGTACATGTGCCACAGTGTTCTGAGGACATCTTGTAGGAATCAGTTCTCGCCTTCTACCACGTGGGTTCTAGTGATCGAACTCTGACTTTGAGTCTCAGCAGCAAATACCTTTATCTACTGAACCATCTTGTTGGTCCAACTTTGTTGTTGTTATTAGTTTTTGAGGCAAGACAGCTTCTGAATCTAGGTCCTGGGTCGACTCTGTGCCTCATTTTCACCCCCAGTACTGGGGTTACAGAGATGCTGCCAGGCTTAGCTTTTATATGGGTGCTGGGGATCCAAACTCAGGTCTTTGTGCTTGTGGAGTAAGTATTTTACCTGCTGGGCTGTCTCCTTTTCCCCTATTTGAGCTTTTGACATTCTTTTCTTTATTTGTTTGTTTTTTTGTTGTTTGGTTTTGTTTTTTAAAGATGGAGGTCTCTCTTTGTGTATCCCTGGCTGTCCTGGAACTCATTTTGTAGACCAGGCTGGTCTTAAACTCAGAGATTCACCTGCCTCGGCCTCCCTGAGTTCTAGGATTGAATGCATGTACCCAACCTGACATCCTTTTCTTAATGAACGCAGCACAAGAGTTTTTGAACCAGATAAAAAGTACATTTTAAAGTTTTTATCTCTTAGAACAAAATATTATCAGTCTCCCCTCTGCTAGAAGCGAGGTTGAAATTGGCTTCCTCTCATAACCTCCATTCTGTACTATTTATCTCTGCATCAGAAGGATGCCACAGGGATTGCTGTTAGTTTGAGGCTAGTCTAGGCTATATAATCAGTGCTAGGCCAGCTAGGGCTGCATAGGAGAAACCTCATCATAAAAGCAAGGAAAAGAAAAGAGGGCAGGAACAAAACACTGGTGATTAAATACCCACAATAATGATTGCTTCAGTAAAGACCCACTGATGAACAGACATCTATGAGAAAACCAGGGTGCTCAGGAAGTTTATGTAGTCACAGAATAAGCCCCAAATATTAATGACTGTTTTAACCTGACCATAGATCCTTTGATATTCCTTCCTCTAATAGAAATTAAATCTTTCACCCTTGTTAATGGGCTGTACTTAGAAACTTGCTTTTAATAGAGTATGAGAAGGAGAAATAAATGAATGACATTAGAAATCTGGCAGATAGAACTTTAGGCAGTCATAATGACTATTACTATTAATAAGTCATGTGGATATTATGTATCCTTGATATATATGACCATACTGAACTCTGTAGCTCTCTTCTCCAAATCTCTACCACACTGTCCCTACAAAGCTCAGATGAGCCCCTGATAATATCTTCCATACTCCTGGTACCCGGTAGAATGAAGACTTTTAATGCTTAAAGATTATCCAATGGATTTATATATTTGGAAATGCTCAATTAACAAGATGCTCACATAGTTAGAATAGTTACCCAATATCTAACCTTAGATATAAGTTGCTACCCAGGACTGCTCTTGACCCATCCATCTTCTTCCATGGTTGCTAGCCTCTCCCCTTTTCTCCTCCCCTCCTCTCTTTCTCTCCTCCCAATTCCTCACTCCACCTACCTCTCATATTGCCCAATCACCAAGCTTTATTGCAAATGTAGTGGGAAAAATACCCTGCTACACTCATGAGATGGGTCGGTGTGTGAGCCCAGTCGTGCATATGTGGAGACCTGCACAAGATGTCAGGTATTGTTGTCTTTGCTCTCTGCTTTATTGCCCAGTGACCTCCCTTCTGGCTATGCTAGCTAGCCAGTGAGCTCTTAGGAGTCACCTGTTCCTGACTTCCCAATGTTAGGACTACAGACTCACGCAGTAAGGCCTGCTTTGTACATGGGTGTTGGGGATTAAAACTCGCCTTATCATTCTTGCAGGGCAAACACTCTTGCCCACCAGACCATTTTCATAGTCCCGAGGTTTACTTTTAATCCAAATTTTGCTTATCTTTACTGTAGTAATCACTACTGTGGGAATCTAATCTAAGTTGAGATCTAGTCTTTTGTTGTTTTTTTCTCTCCATTTTCACTCCTCCCCTATTTCTTCTTGAGAAAGAGTCTCTCTATATAGCTCAGGCTGGCCTGATCCAATCCAGAGCTGGAGAGATGGCTTAGTGATTAAGAGCATATGCTGGGGGCTGGAGAGATGGCTCAGTGGTTAGGAGCACTGACTGCTCTTCCAGAGGTCCTGAGTTCAAATCCCAGCAACCACATGGTGGCTCACAACCATCCGTAATGAGATCTGATGCCCTCTTCTGGTGTGTCTGAAGACAGCTACAGTGTACTCATCAATAAAATAAATAAATTTAAAAAAAAAAAAGAGCATATGCTGTAGAGGACCCATGTTCTGTTGCCATCACCCTTTTCAGGTGGCTCTAGACTGCCTATAACTCCAGTTCAAGGGAATCAGATGCCCTCTTATGGACTCTGTGGGTGTCTGCATATACAAAGTGCACATGCATACACTCAGGCATACACACATTTGCATAAGGCAAGGTTCCCCTAGTTCCCCATCCCCTACTGCTACATTTCTATTCATTTTCCTGACCCTCTGGGTTTCTCTCCTGTCTCTTCCCATACATGATCCCTCCCACCCCTTTCCCACCTCCTCCTGTCTCCCTTCCAGGTCTCTCCCTTCTTTACCTCCTGTGAATTTTTTGTTCATTCTTCTAAGTAGGATTGAAGCATCCACACTTTGGTCTTCCTTCTTGTTGAGCTTCATATGGTCTGTGAGTTGAATCATGGGTATTCTGAGCTTTGGGGCTAATATCCACTTATCAGTGAGTACATACCCTGTGTATTCTTTTGTGATTGGGTTACCTCACTCAGGATGATGTTTTCTAGATCCATCTATTTGCCTAAGAATTTCATGAGTTCATTGTTTTTAATAGCTGAGTAATACTCCACTGTGTAAATGTACCACATTTTCTGTAGCTGTTCCTCTGTTGAAGGACATCTGGGTTCTTTTCAGCTTCTGGCTATTATAAATAAGGCTACTATGAACATAGTGGAGCAGGAGCATATGTCTTTGTATCTTGGAGCATCTTCTGGGTATATGCCTAGGAGTGGTATAGCTGGGTCCTTAGGTAATGCTATGTCCAATTTTCTGAGGAACCACCAGATTGTTTTCCAAAGTGGTTTTACCAGCTTGCAGTCCCACCAGCAATAGCCTCTTTCTCCACATCCTCGTCAGCATCTGCTGCCACTTGAGTTTTTGATCTTAGTCATTCTGATTGGTGTGAGGTGGAATCTCAGGGTTGTTTTGATTTGCATTTCCCTAATGACTAAGGATGTTGAACATTTCTTTAGGTGCTTCTTAACCATTCAAGATTCCTCGGTTGAGAATTTGTTGTTTAGCTCTGTACCCCATTTTTAATAGGGTCATTTAGTTCTCTGGAGTCTAACTTCTTGAGTTTTTTGTATATTTTAGATATTAGCCCTCCATTGGATATACGGTTGGTAAAGATCTTTTCCCAGTCTGTAGGTTTGTCCTGTTGACAGTGTCCTTTGCCTTACAGTAACTTTTCAATTTTATGAGGTCCCACTTGTCAATTTTTGATCTTAGGGCCTGAGCCATTGGTTCAGGAAAATATCCCCTGTGCTGATGTGTTCCCACTTTCTCTTCTGTTAGTTTCAGTGTATCTGGTTTTATGTGGAGGTCCTTGATCCACTTGGACTTGAGCTTTGTACAAAGAGATAAAAATGGATCAATTTACATTCTTCTACATGCAGACTGCCAGTTGATCCAGCACCATTTGTTGAAAATGCTGTCTTTTATTCCACTGGATGTTTTTGGCTTCTTTGTCAAAGATCAAATGACCATAGGTGTGTGGGTTTATTTCTGGGTCTTCAGTTCTATTCCATTGATCTACCAGTCTGCCTCTGTACCAATACCATGCTATTCTTATCACTATTGCTCTGTAGTAGAGTTTGAGGTCAGGGATGGTGATTTCCCCAGAACTTCTTCTATTGTTGAGAACTGTTTACTCTATCCTGGATTTTTTGTTATTCCAAATGAATTTGAGAACTTCAGACCAAATTCCCTTATGATTATCGATGTAAAAACAGTCAATAAAATTCTCACAAACCAACCCCAAAAACATGTCAAAATGATCATTTACCATCATCAAGTAGGCTTCATCTCAGGAATGCTGGGATAATTCAATATTCAAAGATCCATCAACGTAATCCACTATATAAACAAATTCAAAGGAAAAAAACCACATGATCATCTCATTAAATGCTGAAAAAGCCTTTGGAAAAATACAACACCCCTTCATGTTAAAAGTCTTGGAAAGATCAGGAATTCAAGGCCCATACCTAAACATAGTAAAAGCAATATACTGCAAATCAGTAGCCAATATCAGATTAAATGGAGAGAAACTTGAAGCAATCCCACTGATATCAGGGACAAGACAAGGCTGCCCACTCTCTCCTTATTTATTCAATTTAGCCAGAGCAATTAGACAACAAAAGGAGGTCAGAGGAATACAAGTAGGAAAGAAAGAAGTCAAGATATCACTATTTGCTTATGATATGATAGTATACATAAGTGGCCCCCAAAATTCTGCAAGAGAACTGTAGCTCATAAACAACTTCCATAAAGTGGCTGGATATAAAATTAACTCAAAGAAATCAATAGCCTTCTTTTATACAAAGGATAAATGGGCTGAGAAAGAAAATAGGGATATAACACCCTTCACAGTATTTACAAATAATATAGAATATCTTGGTGTGACTCTAGCCAAGCAAGTGAAAGATTTGTATGACAAGAACTTCAAGTCTCTGAAGAAATCAAAGAAGACATCAAAAAATGAAAAGATCTTTCACGCTCACAGATCAGCAGGTATAAAGTGGCCATCTTACCAACATCTACAGACTCAATGCAATCCCCATCAAAATTCCAACTCAGTTTTTCACAGAGATAGAAAGAGCAATTCTCAGATTCATCTGGAATAACAAACTCTACATTTACTACTTTAGGAACTTAGGGTGTATTATTTAGCAGTGGAGCACTTTAAATCCTGAGTTCAGTCCTCAGTACCAACCAGCTGAAACCTACTCTTCTCAGTGTATGTGTGGCTTCTTTTATATTAAAATATCCTCAAAGAGGCTTTGGATGCATTTGATTTAATAAGCAGTAATATTAAAATGCTTAACATTCTTAGAAAATGTCAAACTTTCTTTGTCCTAGATACCATTTTACCTGTCGCATACAGAATTCTTTTATGTTTGAGTTTAGTGACAGTCTCACGTTTTTCCTTTAAGCTTCGTCTGGAGGCACTTCATCAGATTCTCACACTGTTGTCTGGCATGGAGGAAAAGGGTAACATCTTGCTGACAGGAAGCAGGTCAAGTTCAGGCTTTCAGTCATCCACCTTGCTCACGTCTGTGAGGCTGCAGTTTCTAGCAGGGTGTTTCGGTCTAGGCACTGTTGGACACACAGGAACCAAAGGAGAGAGTGGCCGATTGCATCACTACCAAGTAAGTGACATAAGTGACATCTTGTTCTGTATGCAGTTCTTTATCTTTTTACAGAGCTGGGTGGACGATCTGGAACTTGGTGATGTATATGACCGAGGTTAAAATTCTAGAAGCTTTTAAATTACTTTTAAAGATCTGTCTTTATCTGTGTAAGTTTGTGAATCATACAGTTGGGATTAGGTGAATGATTGTATTAGTGTGCTGATTTTAAAAGTAACTCTGTATAATTTAGGATGGGATCAGAGCAGCTAAAAGAAATATTCAGGTTGAAATCCAGGTGGCTGTTCATAAAATTTATCAACAATTGTCTGCTACTCTAGAGAGAGCCCTTCAAGCAAATAAGCATCACATTGGTGAGTAAATATTTCTGCAAATAAAGATGAAGGGTGTATATTTTGGCCGAGGTTATGGTAGAGAATTGTCTTTATTTTATGTTTGATATTAGTAGACCAAGTATTATAATACTTGAACATTGACTACTACTTTATAATTTATAGTTTGGAGAAGTTTATTTTAGTAAATATTTAATTTCCAAGAGATTCTCAACTGTCTTTCTTTTCTTTTTTTTTTTTTTTTTTTAGAAGCCCAGCAACGTCTTCTTTTGGTTACAGTTTTTGCCCTCAGTGTTCATTATCAGCCAGTTGATGTTTCTTTGGCAATTTCCACTGGTCTGCTGAATGTATTGTCACAGTTATGTGGCACAGACACCATGTTAGGACAGCCCCTGCAATTGTTGCCAAAGACTGGTGTTTCCCAGCTCAGCACAGCTTTGAAAGTGGCTAGTACAAGGTTGCTTCAGATTCTAGCCATCACTACTGGGTAAATATTACAAAGGTCTTGAGAGAATAAGGTGGGGCCTGTTTTTTCTACAGTGTTTGTCCCTTTTTGTATTCTCATTCTTAATTTTTCCTTTTATTTCACATAGAACATATGCTGATAAACTGAGCCCCAAAGTAGTTCAGTCCTTGTTGGATCTACTCTGTAGTCAACTGAAGAATTTATTGTCCCAAACTGGTGTACTATTTATGGCCTCTTTTGGAGAAGGTGAAGAGGGTGAAGAAGAAGAAAAAAAAACTGACTCCAGTGGAGAAGCTGAGAAGAAAGATTTCAGAGGTAGTGTAAGCTCTTCTTGTTCTTTCATTATGTGAGGTACTTGTTGAGTCTCCATCGTGTGCACGTGGTAAGAACATCGGCTTCTTTATGTTGTGCTACGAAGGGATTCTTGACTGTTTGCAGCTCCCTTTCTCTAGACACACGTGTGGTGTCGATGAGCTCCTGACCAAGCCTCCTGTGCTCTGTTCACACTGATGCTGCTTAGAGCTACTGCTCCTTCTCAAGCTTCAGCCTCTTTTGGCTGCCTCGGCTCTAAGGACCTAGGTTTTAGGTGACCGGTTTCTTCAGGCTCTCTAGGGAGAGGCTAAGATGTCTTTTTAGTTATTTAATTCTAACAAGCCTCGAATCATAATCCTTACCTGACTGGTTCCCTGAGAGTAGGGGCTTTGGTAACTGGTAACTGATTATAATTAGAAGAACTGAACTAACAGAATTCTTCCGTACACTTGGACAATATAATGTTTGGTTACTGGTACCTCATTTGTTATATAGCGAATGTAGTTCTTTAGTTTTGTTTCCAGTTGCAGTAAAATTTCTTGACAGAAGCATCTTAGAGGAGAAAGGTTTTATTTGGCTCACCGTTCCAGGTTCAGGCCATGAGATCCGAGAAGTCCCAGCAACGGTAACTTCAAGGACAGAGAGCACTGGTTTCCACTTTTGTCAGGGTATCTAATCACAGCTGTAAGAAATGAAACTAAGGCTGTTGTTTCCAGTAGAACTTACGTCTGAAGCAGAATAACTGCCTGTGTCGTTATGAGACTAAAGGTTTAAAATTGGTCATTATTTCAAGAGGATTGTGAGTTACCATGTCTCATTCTCACAGTGCCCTTTAAAAGTCCCTTCTGGGTTAGATGGACAGATAGAAGAGACTAAGCTACTTCACCATTCTTGGCTCCAGTTCTGTCATCTGTAAAATCAGGGCAGTTACAGAGCCAACTTCGTGAAGATTGTCTTGAGGACTAAATAACTTGATACATGTAAGCCCCAGAAAATTGTCTGGCACATAATTAAAATTTAGTGATTGTTAATATTTAATATTTTAATAGATAATATTTGTAATTAAACGCTATTTAGACCATATTAGTATTGACTTATGTGGGGGGAAATAGATACTGAACAGATACAAAATGATAAAGCATCGTCTTTGTTGTCATTGACATAGGGTCATGGTAGAGGCAAACTTGTGAGCAGATATGGTACAGTACAAGAAACTCAGAAGAATTATCTGAATCTCTTATGTCGGAATGTAGGAGTACGGTTCTGATTAAGAACTAGCCTTTTAGTTTCCTAGCCTAAGCCAGTGGTATGTTTTTTTTTTTTCTCCCTCAGTTGTGTACAGAGTTACCTTTACTCAGCGAGCTTAGGCAGGCTTATAAAATGGTTAATAAAAGCAAAGTGTCCCTGCCTCTTTCTGCTTTTCTGAGATCCACTACCGTTTAAAGAGCTATTAAGGTACCAGGTTCTCACCAGACTGTGCTACTCTACACAACAGACAACAGGCATTGTTTCTGGAATTCTATAATACCTTTTAAAAGTGCTTTTAAAAAACAAAACAAAACACATGAGAAAAAAACAGAGCTAGTTATTAACTCTTATGCATTCCAAGATATATGTGCATTTTGGAGAAAATTACCTTTCTTTTAATTTTTCTAATTAAAATACTCTCAATTGCTTTTGACAATGATATCCCAGTGACAATCAGATTTAAATATATCAGACAGAAAAATAGCTACTTAATTTAAGCTGGTTTTACCTCTCTTCCTATGAGATAATGCTAAAACCAAATCAACATTTTGTCAGCCACTCTATAACAAGTTATAGAGTTACTTTTTAGCCTATAAAGCCCCAAGATAATTGAATCTTTAGCTGGATGTGCTAGCAGATGCCTAGAATTCCCACCAGAGAGGTTAGGTCAGAGAAGAACATGAGTTACAGGCCAGCAGTGCCCCATCTAAGAAAACAACAACAATTGAGATCCTTCAATACCTAGTAAAGTCAGACACAGTTTTTCCATGACTGGGTCTTGGCATGTGTGACATCCCAAGAAGCACATGTCCATTCCCCTCTAGTTGTCCTAGAGAGGGGCTAGTTTGGAAAATGGCTAGGAAGGGGACTAACTCTAAAATCATCAGTGGCCTGTCATTTAGAATCAGGCTGCTTGGGTATGAAGAACCTCTGATCTTTCTAAAATACATAATTAAAAGAAAGGTGTAATCTTTATTTCAAAGAATTTATCAACCTGCTTTGTATTAGGGGTCTTCAGGCCCAATGTGTCCTTGAGTTTATGATCCTCCTGCCTCACTCTTTTTCTCCTGAGTGCCACTAGTACAGATATGAACCTCCATATGGCTCTAATTTATTCTAGAACTACTTGCTGGAGACATTATGCAAGGGATAAAAGAAGGCTTCCTAGGAGAGGAACCGACTCTTGAAAAGATGTTGTCCCCAGCAGCTTAGTTCTGTCATAGTCTTGTTCACGCATCACAGCAGACCGAAGTCGTCCTATGCTGGATGCAGCTTCCTGGGAAGCCTGATGACTAGCTATCTGTTGTCAGTGTAGCATGTTCCTTTCCAGAGGTCTCTTCTCTTTCACAGGAGTTCTCACTTGCATTTCTTAATGGAGCATTCCAGAATCTCTCTGAAAGTAGCACCGTAGATACTGGTCTCCAAATTGTTGCAGATGTTCATATGTTCTTCTTTAGGACTGGCATTCTATCTTGTGGGCTTCCTAGCGTGCTTCTAGTTCTCCTCTGCATGGGAATGTCCCAGGATAAAACAACGTGAACGGGAATTACAATAGGATGTGTGTGGATGTGTGCTATCCTAGCCTGCCTGTGCTGCTTGTCCATACGTATAAAGATGTTTCATTCGAGGTTCACTTAAATTTTTACCTTTTTCCACTCTCTAGTTTTTAAAAATTGGTAGCCTATTGAAAACCTAGACTGGGAAATAGATTTGTACTTAATGTAATTAAAGTGTAAGCTGGAGAGGTAAACCTTAGCCTGATGCCTTCCAATTAAAGTGTAAACTTATCTCTTCACTTTACAGCTGCTCTTAGGAAGCAACATGCAGCTGAACTTCATCTAGGAGATTTTTTAGTTTTTCTTCGCAGAGTTGTGTCTTCAAAAGCAATTCAATCAAAAATGGCTTCCCCCAAATGGACAGAAGTGCTTCTAAACATAGCATCTCAGAAGTGTTCTTCAGGTATGTCTGCTACCTTTGTTTACAGTATTTTTGTATAGTACATACAATTTATTGAGGTAATGCTAGAATTTTAACAACACTGGCACTTGGTCTTGATTTCAAGAAGTTTTCTTCTTTGACTTTTGATTATTTATTTGGTGCCAATTTTAAAATGCCAGTTTCTGGGATAGCAATTGGTAAAGAATTAATAGTGCTAAGTGGTGCTGGAGAAATTATGATTTAATCTAGAGAATTTAGCCGTATTTTTTCAGATTATAACATGTACCAAAATAAGAAGAGATGTGTATAGTATATAATTTACTGAGTCTGACCTCATGTTTTAGATTGTCAAGTCAGATATGAATTTGTATGTCCCCTCTATCATGATGTGACTTCAGCTGCTTTGATTTTCACTTCTATTTGTGTGGTGTCTATGATAGTTCCGTATAATAATCTTAATACCTTGTTCCAGCCTAAAAGTCTGGTAATCTTCTACAGGTTACTGATAGTATTTTGTTACCCATAGTTTTGATTAAAAAAATAGATAAAAGACATTAAAATTTGACTATTTAAATCTATAGTTCAGTACATTAAGCATTGTCACAGTGTTGTATTCTTTTTACCCATTTCCAGAACATTTTTCACTATCCCTATGTAATGTGTTTAAAACATGTAGAATTGTAATATAGTATTCCATGTTATGAGTTATTATATGTTTATGTTCTCAATATACTTCAACAATGTTTATTAACTAGTATAACTTACAGCTTCTTTTAATAACATGAAGTTTATATCATGTTTTTAAAGCATAAGGTAAAAGATACTCATTTATTTGTACCTAATCTATAGAGTACGTACTTACACACCAAAATTTTGCTTCTATTTTTTCTAACTTAAGGAAAGTACAAACTACTTACTGTGCATTGTGAAGGGTACTATGATCAACACACACATACACACACACAAGCTTAAAAAAACCAGAACCCTACCAAGCTCTAAAATGGGTCATGGTCAGGGAGTAAAAGCATGTGCTTGGGCTTCAGAGGCTCACTGACATTTTTAAAATGCTACTTCTACTGAAATGTGGCCAAATTTGAGTGTGGGTCAAATTATTCAACTGTTTGAGCCTCTCTTGGCTCATTAAACTCAGTTATAAATCAGACTCTGACTTTCGGATTACTGTATATGAAATACGTACTCTACTTTTGACTCAGTGCTGCAGCACATTGAACGTGTACATGAAATGTGTATATATATTAACAGGCATAGATTGGGTCCAGACTTTATGTGACAATAGGTTAAAGTCCAGGTCTGTTTCTTTTATAAACTGCTTTGTAGTCTTAGAAAAATTTCGTTTGAAGTTAATTTTAACTCTGGATGCCAGTCACATTGATAACAGAAGGACTTCTCTGCTGTGTTCCTAGGTATTCCTCTAGTTGGTAACTTAAGAACGAGGCTCCTTGCTCTTCATGTCCTTGAGGCTGTGCTACCAGCTTGTGAATCTGGTGTAGAAGATGATCAAATGGCCCAGGTTGGTATTTTTTTAGTTGCTGGAAAATACTTTTTACATCTGTAGTATGATTCACCCAAACTGAGAGTTAGTAAAGTCCCGGGTTGTAAATGCGTCTGTCTTCAATAGCATAGTCTTTACTTCTCAGGTTGCTTTCTTTATCCTTCATTCTTAAGGACGAGGAAGAAAATAAGTTGTGAGCTATAAGAAGTGGAGGAATGTACATGTAACGTCAAAAGGAAAGGACAATCTACAATTTCTTAGATTGGGCCTCTAGAGAAAGAAATGTGTGAGACAGTAAAACTAAAAAAGGTCTGTCTCTAGAAAGGAGATATGAAACCAAGCCATTTTGTAGTGAGCTGATTATCTTTTAAAAATAAAAGTATTTCACATAGAACTACCAGATATAACTTTTAGATATTAGTATAATCAATCTTCATGTCCCATTGAATATTACTGTATGCTGTATGTGATACCTCATAAACATGTAACATTTCTCTTTATAAATTTTATCATTCTTTTCTGTCAATACACCAGGTTGTTGAACGCTTATTTTCTCTTCTGTCGGATTGTATGTGGGAGACTCCCATTGCTCAGGCCAAACATGCTATTCAAATAAAGGAAAAAGAACAAGAAATAAAATTGCAGGTAATCAATTCTTCCCTCAAAGGGTGTTTTTTAGGCCTCAGAATTAGATACCATAATGCCCCATCTCGGTCTCTGGTTGTAAGGTCCTACTATGAGGGGCCTTGCTGTAGAATTTGCTCCACGTCCTTTTTGTATGTTTTATCTCTCTTCTCTCATCTTCACATCTCAAATTATATTTTCTATGAAGTCCTTGATTGTCCCTCTTATCCTTGCTACTATGCTTCTCAAAGGAATAAACTGTTGTACCGCATTCTGCTTCTCCTCTGGGCAAAGTCTGGAATGGAGAGTGCACATTGGTTCTAGGTCTCCTTTCTGGGTACCCAGGCACAGCAGATGTACTGCCAGAGAGAGTCAAGAACTTGGGGTTTGAGGTCTGCCCCTCAGCAGCTACATACAAGGCCAAGAAGGGAAGGCGGCGTCTGGGAGGAGCAGAATCTGGTCTGATTGGGAGCAAGATCTGAGGCTACTAGTTGGGTTGAAAGAGAGAAAGCCTTTCTCTGGAGTTTTAAAACACTTTGCTCTTTAAGGCAAAGGCCTTTCCCATGATAGTCCTTAATGAAGCAGCTTTCTGAGATGATCCTTGCTTGTTCCTGTTGCTTTATTTGATGGTGAATGCATACACTTTATTCAGGGTGAACCAAGGGTTATATACCTCTTGTTGGAAGAGAAGGTCAATGGCTGAAGGCTCAATATATACCATATTAGCATGGAGAAGAACTCCAAGTGTTATGCTACTTGACTTGAATGCCCATGGTCTTTAGTCAGGTATCATGGTTATGTGTTGCAGAACAGGTACAGAAGCAAGTAAGGAATGGCTTCACACCTGCTATTCTCAATTAGAAATTGCCGGGGTTTAAGCTCATTCAATCGTAACAGTTCTTATGCCTATCCGGTAGTGGTCCTACATATCTTACAGGAAACAACGTATCACTTACTTCTTTCTATCTCTTCAGTCTAATTGCTTATCATCTAGCAAGATGCCAGAATTCCATAAAGTATTAGCATTACATTTGTAGTTGTTCTTTAGTATCTATAGGAATTGGTTCTAGGACCATCTATGCTTCCCCAGATCAGTTGATGTTGAAGTCTCACATATAAAATGGTGTGGTGTTTATATATGACTCAGACAATTCTCCTATAAAATTTGAACCATTTCTAGGTTTTCCAATACATCCTACAGTGTAAATTCTTGTAAAGAGTTGTGATAACATATTTTCTGTTTAGTGAGAAGATTCTATGCATGTTCAGTACCGATTCAGTTGGTTTTTTAAAAAAAAATGTTCCCAGTCTGTGGTTTGTTGAATCCATGTAGAACCTGGGGTATAGAGGACCCAGTGCTTGCATTTTTGTCCATCTCTTACTCTTGTTCTCTTGTGTACCAATCCTTGTGGCCATGAGGCTCCACTGACTTACCTTCCGAACTGGATTCTACTTCATACACATATATTTCTTGCTTAGTTTTTTCTGATTTCACAGTTTTCCTGATTTTCCTTCTACTTTAGAAAATGTTCTTTAATTCTTCTAGGTTTTTCTTTCGCTATTTAAGTGTTGGGTTATGATGTGACCTAGTCATAATCCCCATCCTCACCTCCCCAACTATCATACCTCTTCCCTTCTCCATATTTAAAGAAACCTTATTTGGCTCTTTATGCCATTGATACTTAAATTTTAAATGCTATCTTCCATTAGCTCACAACTTGAATGGTAACCTAACAGACAGCTTACACATAGTGTGTTACACATAACGCCCTTAGCTCCATCACGTTCTGTTCCCTCCCTACCTTCTAGTTATTACTGAAGAGAAAACCTTGGAATTACCACCCTGGATTCCTGTCTCACTATGTAACTGACTTGATTAGTCTCCACGTACCCTAAATGAATAATAAGCTTTTTATAGGCACTGTAGTCCTACTGTCTTGCACAGTAACTAAAAACTGGTAGATATATAATAGCTGTGAAATAAAAGCAAAGAATATATTAGAGATCTGTTTATTCCCAAATATTGACCCACCCTCCTTTCTGGTAGAAGCAAGGAGAGTTGGAGGAAGAGGATGAAAATCTCCCCATACAAGAAGTCTCTTTTGATCCAGAGAAGGCTCAGTGTTGCATTGTGGAAAATGGACAGATTTTAACTCATGGCAGTGGAGGAAAAGGATATGGATTAGCGTCAACTGGGGTAACTTCTGGGTGCTATCAATGGAAGGTAAGGAGAATTCTTAGTAGCTGTTTGATTGTTGTTTTGTACTTTTAGTTTTTAAAAAAGATTGTTAATAGGAAAAGCTTACAAGGCCTTAACCCTAGACAAAGAACTACAGACAACTAAGAAATGTTGAGAACAAGAGAAATAGTTTTCTCCAGGGAAGAGCACACCAATTGGTTATTGGTTATGACCAATACCACTAAACAGTCAGCCCTGACAACTTGAATAGAAATAGCATTATACAGACCAAATAGATTGTATTTATATTTAGACACACACACACACACACACACACACACACACACACACATGCACGCATGCAACAACAAAGAAAAAGAATCCATGAATTTAAAGAGAATAAGAGAGGGTATCAGATAGCTTGAGGGGGGGGGGATGATGATGTAATTTTAATCTCAAAAAAATATTCACCTAACCCTTAGGAGACTGGAGGCCCCAGGGAGTTTAGAGGTCAGGTGGGATGGGGCATTGGGGGATGGGAACAGCCTCATGGAGATAAGGGAGGGGGGTTGAAGATATGGGATGTGGAACAGTCAGAGGGTGGGTGGGGAATAAAATCTGGAGTGTCAAAAAATTAATTAATTAGAAAAAGAAAAAAAAAAGAGTTGCCTTGGTCATGGTGTCTGTTCAGAGCAATAAAACTCTAGCTAAGATAGTGACACACAGCTATTCCACCACTTAGGGGACTGAGGCAGGCAAGTACAGTGTTTGAGGATGACTGAGTTTTGAGACACTGTTTTTAAAGACCAAACAGGCTGGAGTGACAGAGGAACCAGGTCCAGTTTCCAGCAGCCACGTGGCAGCTCACAGCAATCTGTAACTCAGTTTCAAGGGACCTGATGCCTCCTCCCAGCCTTCACCAGCACCACATGCACATCGTAGACAAACATTCGAGCAGTCAAAGCTTATACAGATAAAGGGTTGGGTTTGGTTTGTTGTTGTTTTTAATTAAAGCATCAAAAGGAAAACAAAACCATAAAAAAAAAGATCTTTGGTTTCACTTCTCTGTGTTCTTTAATTAAAAAACAAACAAAACCTTTGGAAAGGCATATGTTTTATGTAATGGTGGTGCTCTGTCATGGTATTGTAAGTGGAAAATATAAAGGAGATACATGAATTCTACCATTTATGTAGTACTAGCCTAAAAAGTATCTTAATTTTTTTTAATGACAGGTTAAAAGCATGGGGTCACACAGTCACACAGTTTCCCTCATTGGTGAGAATATACCATCAGATAGGTCACGGTTTTGCCTGAAAAGCTGTTAGAGATGCGGCATCAGAGCTGTTTACTAGGTACTGGCTTATACTTTTGCATGGCATGTGTTCACAGTTTAGGTTCCGGAAAGGAAAGTATGTAAGGGATACTAGTCTTATTAATTAGAAAAACAAGGTAGACTCGGCAAAGCCAGCTTTCTCAGTTATGAAAGGTTGGTTTTTTCTCTTTGTTTGTTTGTTTTTAAGTCGGTGGAAGGAATAGGTTATTGATGAAGTTATCCAGTGCCAGTCAGGCCAGCTTACAAGCAGGACTTTCTCTGCTGTATTAACTCCTTTTTTGTACTCAGTCTACGTCCTTGACTCTTGGCCATTATGCATTACAGTAAAACCATAACCGGACCCCATGCAACTAGTGAGACCAAACTGTAATACTGACTTGTGCTATTTAGCTGTGTTAGACTTTGCTAATTAAATTTCATGTGACTTCATTCTTAAGATTTTTTTAAAATTAATCATTTTGTTCATTTACATTTCAAATGATATCCCCCTTCCTGGCTACCTCTCCACAATCCTCCCATCCTGTTCCCCTTCTCTCCCCTCCCTTTTGCCTCTATGAGGGTGCTCCTCCACCTACTCACCCACTCCAGGCTCATTGCTCTAGCATCCTCCTATGCTGGGGCATCAAACCTCCACAGGGCTGGGCCTTCCCTCCCACTGATGTCAGATAAGGCAATCCTCCGCTACATGTATATCTGGAGCCATGGCTCCCTCCATGTATGCTCTTTGGTTGATGGTTTAGTCCTTGGGACCTCTGAGTGGTCCAGTTAGCTGATACTGTTCTTCCTATGGAGTTGCAATCCCCTTCCGCCCCTTCAGTCCTTCCTCTAGCTCTTCCATTGGGGTTCCCAGTCTCAGTCTGATGGTTGGCGGTGAGTGTCTCCATCAGTATTGGTCAGGTTACATTTGTTTTTATTTTGTTTTGAGACAGGATCTCACTATCTAGCCCTGGCTGGCCTGGATTCAGAGATCCTCCCACTTCTGCTTCTCAAGTGCTGGGACATCCCACCACAGATACGGTGTCTCTCTGTGTAGTTCAGGAGTCCTGTCTTAGAGTTTCAAGATGCTTCCATGATGAGCATGTGCCTTCAGGATAGACTTGCATTACTTTTAAAGTCTGGCTTAGGTATTAGTTTAACATAACACAATTCTGATCACTCTAGGGTTGAGCTGCTTTCATTATGAGCTGCCATACATACACAAAATACATATGTTAGTATACTGCAAGTCAATCATCTATAATTGCTAGGGCAGCTCTACTCACGACAGGTAGTAATGATGCTGCCTTCCCAGTGTGGCCCATCGTTCTTAAGCCTTCACTCTCCTGTCTGTTTCTGTTTTATTCTAAATGATTTACCTGAGTTCCTTGTTTCAGATGGACTGTCTCAAGTAGTCAGTTGTAGAATTTTGTTATCTTTGACTTTATTTTGTTGTGTGTATACTGTCGAGGTGTTTGTGAGAAAGTCAGAAGTCGGAGCCTGCTGTCTTCTAGTCTATCCAGTTTGTGGGAAGTTTAGCAGTCAGTTTGAGTTTCAGGTGATCCCAGCAGTTTTCAGGGCAGTGCCAGTTTTTACCTTTCAGAGGGAGAGCAGTTAGGAACAGTTTTAATGTTTGATGCCCTCTCCACACCTCCTTAGACCTTGGGCTTTGGTTTTCTCTGTGATTGAGAAACTTGGTGTACCCATTTAGTAATTATAACTTGAATTTTTTTCAGTTTGAACATTTAAAAAAATTTTATGTATATCTTTTGTACAGAAGTGTTGACTGTAGGGAGTACAAACAATTTCCATACAAATTTTTTTTGTAAAGAATTAAACAGAAACTTTAGGAGTTGGTCAGTACAAATCCCAGCTCCCCCCCCCCCAAAAAAAATAAGATTTACAAATTACCTTTGGGGATGGAGAGATGGCTCAGTAGTTAAGAGTGATAGCTGTTCAGAGGACTCTGGCTCACTTTCCAGCACCAGCATGGCAGCTCATCACCATTTGTAACTCCAGTTTGGGGGTGGGGGGCGGGATATGATTCTTCTGACCTTTGTAGGCTTCTGCACACATGTGGTAATACTCTTATATACAGTGTCAAACATAACCGTTTTACCCTGATTAGATATCCGACAAATAACCTTGGAAATACCAGTCTTTTGGAAATGTCTGTGTGTCAGGAGAAAGGCCAGTGTTATAGAATTAAGCTAGTCATACCTAAACTGAGTGAATACAGAAGGTCAGAGGCAAGCATCACAGGCAGAAGGTTGAGTCAGTCCCTTAAAGAGTGGTGGTGGGGTGTTAGCCCCTGTAGTTTCCCATGTTTTCTGAATAAAGTGTACACAGAGAGTAGTTGCAAAATCTGTGTGTAAGAAATGGAAGCTTTCCACAAATAATTTTTAAAATATTCCCTCAGCATCATAATTAAATTGTAAGCTAAAATTGTTTACTTTAAATGTTATAAGTACCAAAGGTTATTATTTATAAGATGAAGAATAAATTTGCCTTAAAGTATTTATAAACTGATGAAATTCTTTCATTTTTGTTAATTCTTCTTTGAAAAGAAAGTTAATATGTTCCCATTAATGTATAAATATTATTTATAAACATATTTCCAAGTCTCAATTAGTACAGTAATAGCATACAGTTTACTTCAGTATTAATGAACTTTATGAATTGTGTTTTTCTTTTTCTGTTTTTAGTTTTATATTGTGAAGGAAAATAGAGGTAATGAGGGTACATGTGTTGGAGTCTCTCGCTGGCCAGTACATGATTTTAATCACCGCACTACCTCTGACATGTGGCTCTATAGGGCTTACAGTGGTAACCTCTATCACAATGGAGAACAGACTCTGACGCTGTCCAGCTTTACTCAAGGAGATTTCATTACCTGTGTGTTAGACATGGAAGCCAGGACCATTTCCTTTGGGAAAAATGGAGAGGTACTGAAACCTGCTCACAAACATTATTGTTTTCTTTCTTCCTCAAATTGAAATTCCACTCAAGTTATCAAGTACTGGTTATTTAGTGTAGATCACTTCCTTCCTTCCTTCCTTCCTTCCTTCCTTCCTTCCTTCCTTCCTTCCTTCCTTCCTTCCTTCCCTCCTTCCCTCCTTCCCTCCTTCC